AAAAAAATGAATGAAAAAGAATAAAAGCACATAGAAGATATATTTCAATGGGAAAAATAATTTTGACTGTATTTCATTTGGATTGTATTTCGTATTTTGCATTTTTTTGAAATATTCCTTATCGTTAGGAATAGAAAATAATAATATATCGTGTATAGAATCATGAGCTAGGCCGTTCGCGAAAGGTGCGACGATCTAACGAAGTCGATGGATCGTTGCACGCCCAGTCGCCTATAAAAGCCTTATAATTCTCCCTCTTTCTCATACACATACACACATAGACATAAACGTAGACATAAATATACACATACACATAAGCTATATCGTCCGGCAGCTCTTTCGAAACGTCTGCTCTTGGAGATCGTAGTAGCAAGGATCATTAAGGCGGAGAAGCTCGATCGAATCGAAAGGAGGGCCCGTAGAGAGCACCTGGCCTCTGATCAACGCAAATCCCACACGCGATTCGGTGCGAGAAACGCCGCTTACAAGATCGTAACCGACGAATCTAATCACGATCGTCGATCGAACGAACGGACTCGATGATCCTACGATCTCCAGCAGTTTGTTCAAGGTACGGTTCGTCCACGTAATTACAATTTTCGATTGGTAGTTGAAACGCAAATGTAATGCGTATTTCAAGTGGACAGCTCTCTTAAACGTAGACCATTCAAATATTAACGATTATTATAATTGCTACATATGTCCGATTCAAAGTAGATAATATAGTTGTAGGATTTGATATTCATCTTTTATGGAGAAATTAAAGTGCACCTGTTGGAAAAAGAATTTTATTATTTCTTTCTATCCGTCTCTTTCACTTTCTCATTTAATTCATTCTCTTATCGTTATCTTATAAGATTCTTCTTCCTTTTTCTTCTTCTTCCACCGGGAAAAAATATAACGAAAGAAAAGAGATAAATGAAAAAAAAAAAAAAAGAAAAGAAAGAAAATGATGGTGTCAAATAACGAAACATCATTTCTCTCTAACGATTACAACACACGAGTACTTTTAAAATCTCTAAGTTCTTCAGGCATAACCGTTGACAGTAAAACGAACGGAATTGTAATTTATGGTGAAAATGTACTAGGTGTTCTCTCCAAGGTACATACATAGTTATTAGAGTCGGTAGAGAGAGAGAAAGCGTGTTTCGTTCCGCGTTGCAGATAGCCGATCGGTGCTATTTAGAATTCTCTTTTCGATTTCATATTGCTAGAGATCGTTACGTCGAGTGTTTACTAGCGTTGCGACAACTGACAAAGTAAAATAATTATTAATGAATGCTTTTGATCGTATCTTTAATTTTACGACATAATAAAAAATGAGAAAGGCGAGAGAAAGAGAGAGAGAGAGAAAGGAAAAAAGAGAGAAGAGAAAAGAGAAAAATCTATATAATACATAAATAAATAAGTAAATAAATAAATAAGAGAAATAGGAAGCTACGTGGGTATAGTAGAAAGCACGTTTATCAATGATGCAAAGATATCTTTTTAAAGAAAAAGACATATATATATATAAAGAGAGAGAGAGAGAGAGAGAGAGATAAAAAGAAAAAAAGGAGATTTTGATATCGTAAAAAAAATAGAAGAAAATCGTTAATATCTTACCATAAAAAGGGAAAGGATCTACTTTGAAGTCTTCTCGGCCGTAGCTGTCGTCTTACATGCATATACCTGTCGATATAGCGAATGAAAAAAAAAAAAAAATAAAAATAAAAGAAAGAAGAGAAAAAAAGAGAAACAGAAAAAATATTGCAGAGACTTAGTAGAAGACCAAGGGAAAAAGGGTTAACGTTTCGTTCTCCAAGGCTTTTCTGGTTTCGTTGGGTTTATACGCAAACAAGTGCGTATTATGCGGATCTAAACGTTCGAGAGTGCGTTCTTGTTTTCGGTGTAACTCGAAGCTAAGCGGTTTAAGAGATCAACGCCGGTATAAACCGGCCGTCTGAGAATCGTTTGGAGATATCTCGTGCGTGAGAGGCGTCGGGAGAGGAAAGAGAGAGAGAGAGAGAGAGAGAGAGGAAAAGAAGAAGAAGAAGAGGAGGGGAGGGAGAGAAGAAGGAGAATGAGTGAGTGCAAAAGTGTGTGTGTGTGTGTGTGTTAGAAAGAAAGAGATAGGGAGGATGAGAGGAAGACTCTGGGCAAAGTGAGAGGGCTGGCAGAAAGACGGGATGAAAAATTAGATTTACAAATCTGTCTTGACTACTATGAGATTGCTCGCTTACCAAACAGCGACTCTCAACTTGTACCCAATCTTTATTATTTATATAAAGAATAATTCTAATCCCCGTTGATAATATCGAATTCCTCTTTCTTTTTTCTTTTTTCTTTTTTTTTTTTTTTTTTTTTTTTTTTATTAACGGGGTGATAATGAGTGGGGACGAGGAGGGGAGGGACAGGAAGTTAATCGTGAGAATAGATTCGTGCCTTTCTTTTTATTAAACGACGTCGCGCGGTAGGATCCTGTCGATGCATTTCGATTATAGAAAAAAAAAAAAAAAAAAACGAGAAAAGAAAAAGAAGAAAGAAAGAAAAAGAAACAAAAACAAAAGGAATTCAAAGTGGAAAATTAAAATGTAAGAAAAATAAATTAGTTGAGAACCGGTCGATACATTCTCCCGTCTATAGGTGCTATATCGAGAGCAAATAAAGGTCCACGAGAGTATAGGGTAAGCAGCAACGAGTTGAAGATATTTTCTCGCTAGCTAAAGCAAAAGATCGCTTTGTGTACGTTAAGCGGAGACTTTGTAGAGACGTATATCTCGTGAACGCGTGTGGTGTGTCTGCCTTTCTGGCGCCTGCCGCTTATGAAAAATGAACGTCCCTGTTAACCACACGGGGCACCAACACCAATACCATCAGCAACACCAATATCACCATCAACATCACCACCACCATCACCATCATCCACCAGCGCCATCGCCATCACCATCTCCATCACCATTGCCATCACCATCGTCTTACCATATAGATTGTTTCAAGAAAAGAGAATCTTCTTTTCTTCCTTTCAATTCCCACCGTCGCTATGAATCTTTCGACTATTCTTCTCATGGTTCTTCTTTTTTTTTTTTTTTTTTTTTTATACCTTTTGTGATGACCGAAGAAATTTGACGTTAGAATTTATTTCTTTTTCTCTCTTCTTTCTCTCTCTCTCCCTTTCTCTCTTTGGAATTATGTATCTTATCTCTGGAAAGTTTAAATAATTTAAAAAGGAAGTATATTTTGAAGTGTCTTGTATTGTTTATTAATAGCTTCTTGTGTAATAAAATACGTTTAAGTGTTACTATTTTAATTTTATAATTTTTAAATAAATAAATAAATATATATATATATATTTAAGAATACTTGAATATAGATTTATTTATTAATAAACGACACAAGATATTTAAACGCTTGCCTTTTAAATGTTAAACGATTATATATATATATATATATATATATATATATATATATATATATATATATATATATATATGTATATACATATGTATTAAGAAGGTCTATATTTATATATGATTTAAGTATTTATAAATAATATATATATATTTCTCTTTATCTATATTATATAAATGTGTGATCATTTAGTTCGTGTCTCGTAGCAATCAAAACTTTCGCTCGATTAATTTTTTGTCGAAAATCAAATAAAATATTATGTATGTAGGTACGTAGAAAGAGAATCTTTTAAATTGTTAATTCTTTAGAAGTTTACCTTTAATGATTTTTCATTTTCCCTTAGTCACGTAAAAGCCTGCTCTCGAAACGTTCACACGATATCATCTACTTGTAGATTAGCGGCTAACTTTCTTGAATCTTTTCGGCTCGAAACACAAGGCCCGGGTATGTTTCTTTGATGGATCCGCAACAGCCCATTCGAGAGAATTCTTCTGTTTCTATATCTCCCCTTACACCCTCCTCCTCCACCCTCTTCTTCTTCTCCTTTTTCTCCTTCTTCTTCTACTTCTCCTCTTTCCTTTTTTTTCTTTTTCTTTTTCTTTTCGTTTTTTCTATCTCCTTTTCTTTTCTTTTTCTTTTTCTTTTCTCTTTCTCTCTCTCTCTCTCTCTCTCTCTCTCTCTCTCTCTTTCTCTCTTTCGTTTCCTTTCTTTAAACTCGAAGTAATCTCCGAACGGAGGGGTCGGTCAAATTCGTTGTGTTCAAAAACGGCCCTGTGAACTCAGCCAGAAAATCATCGGTAAAATCTCACTTTTCTTTGCGAAATAATCCTCGATTATTATATCATGTATTTTTTTCTTTTTTTATTTTCTTCGCTCGAATAAAACATGACGAAAAATATTCCTGGTTGAATTCACGGCTTACTTAATTTCATATCATATGTAATGTGTATATACAAATTGGAGAGATATAAATTTGAAGTAAATATATATATATATATATATAGGAACAATTATATTCAATCGTAGATTTAATTTATTTAATTTGTACTTTTTTCCTTTCTTTTTTCTAAAACTTTTATCGAATGAAGAATGAAACATTTCGTAGAATTCATCGAAACAAAAATATTTCTTCAAAACAATACGTATTTCCATTGTTATTAATAAAAATCTCGTATTGGTCCTTTCTCTTTCTTTTTAAAATCATTCAAAAATTTTCTGCGAGTCGTCGTACAATCTACAATATGATAGAGGCAAAATGTTCATTTATAAAAAATTCAATGAAACGAAAATATTTCTTGGAAATAATGACGTACGCATTATTGTTAATATTTCGAAGGACCTTGTATTTGTCCTTTTTATTTTTCTGAAAATATTATGTAGTCGTGAAGTTGATCTCTCTCTTTCTCTCTCTTTCTTCCTCTCTCGCTCTCTCTCTGTCTCTCTATCTCTCTCTCTCTCTCTCTCTCTCTCTCTCTCTCTTCTCTCTGTTTTGTTTATATATTTTGAGTAGAAGACGACCGTACAAAGTCGTTTGAATGCGACAGTCGGGGTAAGAACGTTACCTCGAAAACAGGTGTCTCTAACCACAGTAACTCTCTACCACTGTACAGCTCCAGGCCAGGAAGACCCCCAAAGAGAGCTTCCGTTGGTTTGAGCCTCGCAGCAAGTCACCTAGCCGCGGCTGCCGGTCATCATCCACAGCATTCCTTGAAGAAGCACAGGATGGACAACGGCGATTACTATGAGAACGGACATTTAGGTAAGCTTCTACGTAAGCATCTATTTAGCTCCTTCCTTTGAGGAAGACTTTAATTGGCCTATTAAAAAGCGTAATATCCCTTTCGTTTTTATTACGTTTTTTTTTTTTTTTTTATTATTATCGTTTAAGTAATACGATATCTTTTCTTTATTCTTTTTTTTTTTTTTTCTATAATCTCTTTAATCTCATCCGTATAGAAATCAGAAAAGGAATATATTTCAAGATTCTATCGTTATATACTTTTCAGAATATAAATGTCATATCGTTAGAGTCGTTGAATATTTCTTTTTTTTTTCTTTTTTTTATCATTATTTTGAGATCAATCCTTTAAATATTGCGTTATTATCGATATGACACTCGATGTGTTAATATGTTAATGTGATATATTACATTTTATATATATATATATATATATATATATGTGTATGTAATATATGACTTGTGGAACTTACGATTGGTGGTTCTGATTGTAAACGGACAAGTAAAGTGCGCTTTGCGTAGGCGTAAACGCAAGTAACTCTGGGTTGCAAGGGGCACACACTTGATTACTGCCATCCGTGTACACGGTGGTCCAACGGTGACCCCTAGCGATCAATTAATTAGGGGAATCAAACACACTTGGAGTGAGCAAATTAACTGCAACTGCAGCCTCGTGTTGCGGCCTGCGGTGACGGCGGACGCGCTTGCCGATATATCGGAATACCACTACTGATATTATACTCTACGCAGCTGTTTACCAACGTAATATCTTTCCTAAGTGCGATTCTACGTTTTACATTTGTTGACGTTTACAAGCACCATACTTTGTTTTATAACCAAATAGAGAGATCATTCATCCGAATTCGATCGTTAACTGTCTATGAACGTGTACGTATGTAAATCATTAATTATATTAAATTCCGATTATATATCCATTGGAATTGCTAAATTACATAACTATACCTTTTATTTATTTCCTTCCAATGAAATTGAATCATTAATTTCATATACGATTCTATTAAAAAATTTTTCTTTCTTTTATAATAATTTTTATAATTAATAAGAAAGTAAGAGAGAAAGAAAGAGAGAGAGAGAGAGAGAGTATCAGTTGGTTATTAATACTCTTTCTTCTGGACGATGTCATCACGCAGAGAAATTGGAAAATTAATTGGACGTTACGTTTCGGTTTATGTTTTCCTCCTCGGTGTTCACTTGGACGAGCCACGATGCGACATCTATTCTAGCAATATCTAACACGATGGGGAATCGTTAAACTCAGCGAAGCTCGCAAGCGGGGGTATAGGTAGACGTACGCGGCCGATAGGCGAACGCAGTTCGGAAATTGTTTAAGCAAATAATCGTGAACATGCCCGTCGACCAATTTTACGAGCAAATACGTTTCACGGGGCAACGTTAATGAATTAATGCTGCGGCGTTCGCGGTCCGTGCCTCCAGCCAACCAAGCTCGTCGGGGTAAACGTTGAAACGGCCGGCAATTAATTACGGCCGTGCGGTAATTGTATAATTGTTTTACGATTGGAACCACCCCTCCATCCCTCCCACCTTCTCACCTCCCCGAAACACCACCCCAAACCTCCTGCCTTGCCTTCCCGTGCGCCCCTTTAGCCACCTATACCTTCATTTTGTTCGTCGAACGAGCCGATCTTTCCTTTTGATCCGAACAGATTCGATTGCTTAAGTCATTTCTAATGTCTTTTTGTAATTGATCGATAACAGGATCGATATAATTGATCATTTCATTGTTATTATCATGTATGAATTAATTATGAGATAACATAAATACATTTTTGCTTTAGATTTTTACGAACACTATATATATATATATATATATATATATATATATATATATATATATATATATGTATTAATGTATATCTATACAGTAAATATTCTTAGGAATGAATTTGTTAGAACTTATTAGAAAACTTTAGCAATCGATGTTAATGTGACGATTGAAAGTGAAATTGTCGAATAATACGTGAAATTTTGCTAGTAGTAAAATGGGCTGTGAGTAGGTGTAAAGATGACCCAGAAAAGCGATGGGTCATACTGATACGTTGGATACAGCAGTGAGATAGAGATAGATAGATAGATAGATAGGTACAAAGAGAGATAGATAGATAGATAGATAGAAAGAGAGAGAGAGAGAGAGGGAGAGAGAGAGTTAGAACGAGTGGATCGTGTACGGTATCGGGGATTGCAATTTTTTTCAATTTCGCTTGCCGCGCGAGCAGCACTTCCCATAACGCAATTAATAAACTCAACAAGCGAGATCCGATCCCGATATACCAGGAGCGTAACATCCATTCGGGGAACGGCCCGCACAATGGCCGTCACAAATGCTCGTCTATTATATACTATACATATATATATACATATATCGTTCTGTCGATGTTGCACGGCGATACGCATCTATGTTGTCTCGACGAAATTAAAAGCGATGAGAAAAATAAATAGCTCGTGGCCAGAACCAACGTTGAGTATTATGAGGGAGGCAAAAGATAGATAGAGTAAGAGAGAGAGAGAGAGAGAGAGAGAAATAAGAAGAGCTATGTTTGGCCAAAGCCGCGTGTCCATGAGAACCTTTTCATCCCCCTATAAAATATTAGAAACAACCCTCTCGAATTTTACATTCGGGTAATATCTTTTCTCTCTCTCTCTATCTCTGTATATATATATATATATAATATATATATATATATATTGTATCTTATTATAATTATTACCTTATAAATATTGACTTGTGCTTATTATTTTAATTTCCTTTCTTGCGTAATGTTATTGCTAACGATATATTTTTAATACTTTTCTCTCTCTCTCTCTCTCTCTTTCTCTCTGCGTATGGAATTATCGATGGTGCTCGAACAAACGAGAAAGGAACGGAAGCCGATAGGACTCTTCGAGTCCGATATATCGACTCGTATATACGTGCCGGGAAGCTCCGGTTAATTATTTAGCGCCCGCCGGTTACTGAAATATCATTAATCAAATTGGCCTCCTCGCGTAATTCGCATTACACCGGGGTAATGCATACCGAGTTACATATTAAAGCGTAAACTAAGCAAATTATCCGGCCATCTGCGCGTGTTCGTTGCGTCGAGTAGAAAGGGATGGTGTTGGTGTTGGTGCAGGTCAGGTGGTGGGGAGAAGGAAGAAGAGAGAGAGGTGGTAGGGAGAGGGTAGGTAGGAGATTGTTAAAAAGGTAGCCAATATACATATAAGTTGGCGACGGTCTGTAAACGAAATTTCAAAATGATGTGAACGCGATTGAAAACTAAAGGCTTGAATTCAATACACCTAGGATGACGTTTTTCCACTATGAAAATAGCTTACTATAACCCGAGGGTAGATACGTAGAGCTAAGAGCTATGTTACGCATTGTTAGTGGTAGGGATAAAGAGAGAAAGAGAGAGAGAGAGAGAGAGAGAGAGAGAGAGAGAAAGAGAGAAAGGATCGAGTTAGTCGAAGGAGAACGCGATCATCGTCTTGTAAAGAGAGTATAACGCGTAAGAAAACGATAATGAGCTTGGCTATAGACGTGAGAGCAGGTGAATCGTCGAGAATATAAGAAGACGGATAACGTGACTCAAAGAAGTATCTTTATCGTCCTCGTTAACGTTGTTCTGCATTGAATTTTATGGAATTTCGAGATAGTCGTTGGCTACCACATTACTTTCTTTATTACCTTTTTTTCTGCGCGTCCTTATCGATTATTCGTAAACAGGTCATAAATTAATATACAGGAAATACGTCGTAAAGGATCTTCTTCGCTTTTTTATTTTTATTTTTACTCATTTTCTTTTTTAATTGTACTCTCTCATCAATATAAGGGGTAATACAATGATTGTATATGTATGTAAAAAAAGAGAAATCGTTTGAATCAATTTTATTTAAATATATAGTCTCTCTCTCTCTCTCTCTCTCTCTCTCTCTCTCTCTCTCTCTCTCTCTCTTCTCTTTCATTCACTCATTCATTTTGGTAATCGTAATTGAAAATTGTAGGTACCTACGCAATACATGGATTCGACGTAGATTTAAAAGTTTTTAATTTCATCTAAACTCTGATAGATTCTCTGGTAGTATTACGCGTACACATTTATAATATGGTATAATGTGTGAGTAGTTCACATGAATTGGCACTAACACTACGAATACGACTACCGTCAGCGAATGCTCATAAAAGCATTGATTAACCGTTGGCGGTCGTAGGTCGGGCAACGTGCACGGCTCGTGTACCAATAAAACCCAGCTAATAGTCGGCCGACATCGCTTCAATATCATTTGTCGGCTCGACCTGAAAGCTCTTTACGCGCCACGAGAGTTTTCACGAGACACGATCGCGCGTGCTACTATTGCCTGTTACTGCTACTGCTGTTGCTCATGTAGTTGTTGCTGCCGTTGCTGTTGTTGCTATTACATTCATCGATACTACAAACGTATAAAAATTGTATCCCTCTCTTTTTTTCGTATACATACACGCACACACATATGCACGCACGCACATACGCGTTCCTACCTACGTACATCTGATTTACCTCCCTGTATTATTTGTTTTTCCTCCTTCTCCCATCCCACCCCCAATCCTCCGTCATTAAATTTATTATCATTAAAATGAATAGTTTGATGATTCTCTTGATATAATTATTCATAATTAGAAGAGTTTGAAGGAAAATCGCTGATGTTTTAGTTGATGTTAATACGGTCGAAGGGACGATTAAGTGAGGAAAATTCGCACGTGCGTGTCGAAGCCACGGAATTGTGGTCGAGAGACGGTCAGGTATCCGCGAAGTAATTAACAAATTGGGGAGACGAGGATACCTTCTACTTCGTGAGAGAAAGGATGATCCTATCCCTTCTATTTCCCTACTATGTCTCTCTCTCTCTCTCTCTCTTTCTCTTTCTCTTTCATTTTCACTCTCCTTCTCTCTTTCTTTCTCTCTTTCTTCCTCTCTCTCATTCGTTAAGGGTTCTTATCGTAGCCGCGAATTAAAGGAGATACG